GTTTTAGTTCCCTGTTATTTTTCCACTATTTTATATTGTTTTTAATACAAAAATCACATCTTTTTGTGCCAAGAAAAATTGCTACCCATTGCTTGAAAAAAAAAATTAAACTTCCAAAATTTCTAAAAAATATGTCGTTTTGGAGATAGATTATACTAAAATCTCGTTGGTTTGTTGTTTCTGGGTTTTGTAATGAAAATCGCTGAAAAATATGCTACTTTTGAGCTTTGATGAAGCTCCTATAGCGAAACTCGATTTCGAGCGGGTCAACTTGCCAAAGGAAGAAGAAAATAGTACAATAGAGAAATATCAAGAAATCCTAAAGATTAGGGTGAGATTGTGAGAGAGGCATCATATTTATATTTTTTACTAAAAAGTCTCACGAAATCCACACCAATAGAAAATCCATTAAAATCATCAGATTTTTGAATACCACAAGATTGTGATTCCATTGTTTTAACTCCTGATTGAATACCAACGGATTTGGACGGATTCTAAATAATCTTTTAAAATCCTAATCGAATACCACGTGACTTTTTTTCAATCCATTAAAATCTTAATCGAATACCAACGGATTTTTTTGTCCAAAAAAATAATCCATTTAAATCATTTGAAATCTCAATCCAATACATTGATATTATTTTACATTATTTAGTTACAAGACTAATTATGTTCACAATGCAGAAATTATCTCACAACGTCACCAAAGCTTATCGAGAGTTAATTCAAGATTGCTTAATACTTAAAATGTAACTTGTTGAGGTTAAAATTACTTTTGATATTGTCTACCAAAATAAAAATTACTTTTGATATAATGAATTATACTAATAATTTAATTATTTGTACGATGAATATAATTGAGTTTTAAACTGAGATTTATTTATGTCAAAATCAATCAAAACATTCCTAATGTAAATGAATAGTTTTTTCTTTCTATGATTTAATTATCTGAATAATATTAATTTTGAAATTATTTATGATATCAAATTTTTAACAATTCTAATCTGTTTAAATAATCTAAATATATTTATAAACATAAAGTATTATTAAATCGATGTGAGAGACTATCTAAATGTTATAAACTTGTTGAAATTATAATATGCCAAAAAATGGCATTGAAAATAAATACTATGACTCACTCAATTTATTAGAATTGGCCCTAGCTTGTAGAAACGACAATACAACGTGAGTAGGGGTGAAAGTGAGTTAGGTTGGGTCGAGCTTTGTCTCGAAAAGTTCAAGCCTATGCCAAACTTTTTCAATTTGGCCTGGCCCAAGTCTAATACGAGCCTAACTATTAGTCTGGCTTGACACGTTTATAAAAAAAACAAATGGCCTGTCTTGACTCGTTAGCATGTTAATTTGTAACTTCCAAGCAGAACCATAAATCAACTTCACAAAATTACTCAAATCCTATTGTTAAAACAAAGATCACAATTTCAATGTCCAAACAGAACCATAAATCACAACAAAACTTATCACAATATGCATTTAAGTTACTTTCAAAAGAAAAATGCTCAAACTAAATAATAAATATTTCATCAGATCCAACAAACAAATCTATATTGTGTAAATTAAAATAACTACATAACTTCAACAAACATATCATCATACTTGTAGTTGTCAAAAACTTCTCTTCATCTTCTCTTTTATACAAAATACAATTCCAATATTACATAAGTTGGCAAACAATTTGTAAATGTAGAAAACAAAAAACAAGAATAAAGAATAGAAACAAAAAAATAAGATTAAGAAACAAAAAATCTTTTAATAGATTCATATAGACAATCTCATATGTTAAGATGTTGGTTCCTCCTGCATAAAAAATAAAGTCAAATTTCTATTAAAATTTAATCGAATATAATTAAATTATAAAATAATTTTAATTGATTAAATTTATACCTTTTATTTTTTCTTCAAGTCATACCTATTACGTAGCCAATCTTCGCTGTATATTAAAGTTTAAATGGTATCTTCAACTAAGCCAGAACGATAGGTATCAATAATGTTGATTCTGATGGTACTGTAGAGATTGGTACAGATCTTATGCCACTTTCAAAGATAGTATTGGTGAAGGAATGAACTTAGGTCTTTCCACCACCTACTTAGCTCACATGCATAAACTGAACTATCATCATTTGATACTACTATGAATAATATTATTTTATTTTATTTAATATAAATAATATGATATAGGTCGGCCTGTAGGCTTAGAGGCCCAACATATAAAAAAAACCTATCACCTACTTTCTAAATAGGCTTCATTAAAAGCCCGAGGCTATTCTATTTGACTATATGTAATAGGCCAAACTTGACCTGATATAGGTTAGGCCGTAGGCCCCTGTAGGCCGGCTCGACCCACTCTCACCCCTAAGTGTGATTAACCAAGCTCCAGATATAAAATAATAAATAAATTTAATTTTTTTTTTGAAGAGAATGAAAAAAGATTTCCACCAAATAAAATAAAGATAACCAAAAGATTTTTTTTTTGAACAAAATATATGAAAATTGAACTCAAAAAAGGACACCCTAAATCAAATTACATAATGTGAAAGAATGAAAAATACCTTAGAGAACTTATATAGTGTGAATCTTTTGCATTTTGAAATCAAAAATGATTATTTTAAATCCATAGATTATTAGATGGAATCAATTAATTATGCATTAACTGGTCTTCTCAAGATCCCTCTCTTCTCTCAATAAACCCATTCTTCAAGTCTTTTTCAGAAAACGTAAAAGTAACAAAATAATACCAATAAGCAAGCTTTATATAAAAAATATCGGCAAAAATTTAGAAAGAAAAAAAAATCACACAAAAAGAATGAATTTTTTTTTCTTACCTTAAATAACGAGAATAAAACAGTGAAAAGGCGAAGCTTAAATTTTTTTTCCAAAGTTTGTATTATATTTTTTGACGGTCAATATTATTTTATATTGGTATAAATTACACTTTCAATGTTGATAGTTAATTTTATTTATAACTAACGGCTCTAATTTATTAGATATTTACACCATTAAATACAACTCAATTAATGACTAAGATGTAATGCAAAGCTTCTTATTTTTTACATTGAATAATAACTTGTCACTATTCTTTAAGATATCTCTAAATTACACTTAGTATACAAGAAAGTTTGGTCATGTGATATTTTTTAATTATAAAAAGGTTTGAAGACTTAACATTAAAGATATAATACGGGTATATTAAAGTATATATCCATATGGCTATAAAAAAAAAAGTATATATCCATACAAGTTACGTGAAATGATCTTAAAATAAATCAATAAAGAGATAGCATGTTAAGATACAGAGTGAGAAAATGGAAATAGTTGATTTGTCTATATTGATTGAGAGATGAAATTAATATAAGAAAATATATGAATCTTACTTCTAACTCCGCGTGCACAAGATTTTATGTCAATGCAATTTTTAATGTGATTTTTGTAAAACGTAAAAAGAAATTGAATCATTCAAAAAGGGGTGCTATTCTTTTAAGGAAAATTAAATAAATTCTGAAGTAGAAGAAAACACTATAATAAAAAATTGCAAGAAAAATATTATAGTTATTATTATTTTAGATTTATTATTCTTATTATGTAATTGATTATCGTTATCATTAATTTTACAAGAAAAATATTTCTGCAGTTAATGCAGATAAGTTATCTGCATTTATTTTTAAAATGACATCGTTTTAGGATTGAAAAAAAATTAAATAATTATAATTATAAAGACTATAATAATTCTGAAATAAATTAAAATTACAAAAATACCATGATTTTCGTCCCAAATAGTGGCGGAGCCAGGTACATTCTGGGTGTGGCATCGGCCCGGGCTAAATTCTAACAAATTATACTTATTATATGTAATTATATAATTAATTATAATTTGGTCCGGTTTAAAATTTTAATTTGGCCCGGGCTACAATTTGTATTTTGGCCCTATCTTAAACTTAAAATATTTTTGGTAAGAGAATTGGGTAACTTGTATTAGGTTATGTGTTCAATTTCCACTTGTATGAAAAATATTTAATAAAATTATAATTCTTCTTGGTACTGCATACTCAGGTGCTCCACATTTAATATAATTTTATTAGGGAGAGTTATGTTTACAAACTTTTTGTTTATAAACTCTTACAAACTAGACTACGTACTTCCGGGAGTATATCGTATAATTTGCAAAAAAATTTATAAAATGATTTTTTCCCAATTTAAATATGGGAGTTATTAATCTTATGTCACATGAGATAGTTATATGATGTGTGTGAAACAAAGTTGTGGGGCCCATAATTTTAAAAAATGGGCACAAGATTCCGTGAGTGTGCAATATAAGATAGTTGTCTTATGTGATATAAGATAACTATTTTCTAAATATATTATGATATAAACTAACTAAAGTTAAGAAAAATAAACACACGTAAATGTTTTTGACCTGGGCTCAAATTATTAGATTTACTGCAGATAATTTATATGCAGTAACTACAAAAAAACGAACTCTTAATTTTAAATTAATTTAATAATAATTAATCAAATAATACGGGTAATAAAACTAAAATAATTATAACTGTAACAACCCCGAATAGCAAATACTCAAAAGCCAAATAGTTGTTTCAACTTCCTTTATAAGCAACTTGTCCCAAAACCATTTAAGGTGGTAACTGGTAAAAAAAAAAAGGGTGGTTAATTCAAAACTGTGTGAAAGTCAAAGCTGGCTTTCTCAAACACAGAGCAAAAGTGGACCCAAACAATATACGTTTTGGTCCTCTCTGACTATGAACAACGTTACTATTATTAATAATAATAAAAGTAAGATTTTGACAGGAGAAGAGACAAGTGCAGGTGGGATAATCCTCTGTCCTGGATTTGCTAAAAAACAAACAAGATCTCTGAGATTTGGATCCTCCGAATCTGTCTCCTTTTTATTTGTATAATTATCATTCACACTTTTTCACCTTTCCATTAATTCAAAAGCAAAAGCAACTTCTCATATCTTTCTCCCCCATTTTTAGTATCTTTCTTCTTATATCTATAAAGTATAAACTACATCATCCCTCTCCTCCACTCTCTCATTAGTACTTCATCATTTTCATTTTCATTTTTATTTTTTGACACTCCTCCTAGTCCTAGAGTTCCCTTTTGATCGATGATGGCTGCCGCCGGCGATGTTCTCAGGCAGAGTTTGCCGGATGTTGGTGCAGCTGAGCTGCACGTGCTTGCAGTTGATGACAGCCATGTGGACCGTAAGGTCATTGAACGGTTGCTAAAAATCTCTTCTTGCAAAGGTAACGATAGTAAAGCCCATGCCTTTTGTGGATTTTTGTTGTCTTTTCTTGCACTTGGGTTGGATTCTGAAGGTTATTGGAAATGGGTATTTGCAGTGACTGTGGTAGAGAGTGGAACCAGAGCTCTACAATATCTGGGTTTGGATGGAGACAAGAGCTCCATTGGTTTTGATGTGAGGAAATTTGGATTTAGTGTTAACGATTATCACTGTCAGTTATCTGGAATTGGTGCTTATGTTGTTGTTTGATGATTATGGTGACAGAGTGTGAAGGTTAATCTGATAATGACAGACTATTCCATGCCGGGGATGACAGGATACGAACTACTCAAAAAGATAAAGGTGAGAATGCTCCTTGTTATTTCTTTTTTGTTTTTGTTTTCTTGTAAGAGATGCAAAGAAGGGAAGAGAAAATTTCTAATGTTCGGTTAATTATGTGTAATTAACGGTCTGTTTCATCGTGTTTTTGTTTCGTAGAATAATTAATGAAATATGTGGTTTCTCTTTTTTTTTTTTTTAAGTTAAAATTCAAAATACAGAACAAGAATAAATCTCTAAATTTGATTCTAAAAACAAAAGAACACTTACAATTTTTAGAACTATTTTTACAAAAACATGCAAACATGTTTTTTTTCTTCTGAAAATCAAAAACTTGTTTTTAAAAACATGATTCAAACAAGCTCTAAGTTTTCCTGATTTATTAGTTGTCGGTGGAAATTTATTATGTTTTTTCAGTTCTCTTCTTAATCTTTACTCCTTTCTGTTAATTTCAGCAGGAGTCATCTGTATTTAGAGAGATTCCAGTGGTGGTTATGTCATCTGAGAATATCTTGACCCGAATTGATAGGTAAGCTCTTGATTGAAATAACAAGCTGTTTGGTTCTAGTATTGTTTTATTTTTTTAGTTCAACTCAATTTCTTGATGTATCTGGTAATATTTACATTTTGGATGATGTTTGTTGATTTGCCTCTGCTTTGATAAGCTAAATTATCTGAAAATTGAGGATTATCATTATACTGCATCTGCATCTGCATTTTTTTTTCCCTGTGGAATACATGTATATTTGGATATGATTAGATCCCTAAAGTTTTCCCAATTCTATGCTAGTTCTAGCATAAACGTCTCCTGTAAAGATGTACTGAAATGATAATACTATAATAGGAAAAAGGAATGTCAAATTTCCTAAGAGATCTTAATTGCCACTTGGCCTAGGCTGGCGCTGTGGTAGGCATTAGTGCTAATAACGCATGAAGCCAGCATAATAATTGGCAATATCAAGTCAAGAGTGTTGAAGATCTTAAGGTAATTGAGATTGCCACTTTGGCCTACGCCGGCAGCGTGGTGGAAACAAGGCTACGTTTAATTTTTGTTGTGATTCAGATCATTGTTGATTAAACTTTAAGTCACTAAACTTAGAAGCAAAATTTTCAGAATAACTAGTCCCTTCCCTAAATTCGAGGCTAGTGATATGAACACTTTGATGTCATGGTTTTTGCAGCAAATAGCAATCATGCAAAATCATTTCACTGATGCACAAAATTAATCTGTCAATAATCTCATGATGTTAAGCACATGGATCGTTGTGGGACATGTTGCTTTAACTTGCAATTGTGGCTACAATGATTGAAGTATGATGAAATCCAGATTCCCACTTGTCTTTTGGTCAACTGATTGTACAAGGACCCTGTTGGCATGGCAAAATTATTATCATTATAATTGCTCTATAATTGTACATCTTATAAACAACTACTACAATGCTTTCATCTGTACCTGAAATTATTGGCAAAAACCATGAGTTTATGTATATATATAGGGAAAAGTGTGTATAATTTTAAAGGATATAAAGTTGTGTCATTTTAAGAGAGAGAAAGAGATAGATAAAGGAGGAGAGAGAGTTGACAAAAAAAAATAAAGGTGTGGGTCCCACCTCTTTGTGAGAGTGAAAGGAGGTAAGTTGTGTAATTTTAAATGATAGACACTTTTCCCATATATATATAGTTTGTTAATAATTAGTTTAGCAATATTTTAACAAAAGTCCTATACCTTGCAAATTTGATGATCCATGAGCAGTATTTGTAGACAGACTTATTCATTATTTACCTTTACTGATTTGGCAGTTGCTTGGAGGAAGGAGCAGAGGAGTTTCTGTTGAAGCCTGTAAAGTTATCAGATGTAAAACGCTTAACAAATTTCATAATGAGAGGTGAAGGCAAGAAGGGAGAAAAAAAATGTCAAAAAAGAAGCCGATCAGATGATTGCAGCAGTCCATCTTTATCAACTGCATTCTCATCAGTTGCTCATTCATGCGATCTATCATCACTGTCACCATCTGCATTGTCCTCAAAGAAATCTAGGTTGTGTGCAGAAATTTAGCACTGCTCTTTATGTCTCCGTTTTTGGTAAACCATAGTTTATATCCCAAAGCCTCCTATGTAATTTTCGTTTTTATACTATAGATTGCTGACAATGAGTACTAGGATTAGGTATGAGTAAGAGGATGTCAGAATCACTTGTTTTTTTTATTTTGGCCGCTAAAATTATTTTTTGCTTATTTTGCTACTGTACAGAAGAAATTTATTAAAAATTAACGAAACCCTCTATTTCGAAGGGTGTTACTTCAAAATTATGTTCACTGGCGTTCAATACTTAACATTGATCATCATACTTATCTAGCATTCTAATGTTTAAAGAATGTTGCCTAACTAGCACATGAATGTGCCTGTCATATAAGGAAGTGTCTGCGTTGGGAGCTTGCCTTTAACATTAGCGTATATGAATCATACTAGTAAACCTTGTCACTCGATTCTAGCTTTAACGCTATTGCTTTGAGTTCTCCCTACGCTGTTTTTGGTACAAGAGAAATATTTTGGTATTTGGAATCACGATTAATGGGAATACAATAGAAATTGAGTTTACTTGGAATCTTATGAAAAATGTGTTTGGTTCGTCAAAATATTACTGAGAATATTGGATAAAGATTACTGATTTCATGTTTGATTTAGAACGAAATATGACTTGGAATATGAGGTTATTTTACAAAAGTAACCCCAAATTATTTTTACTTTTGTAATTGATAGATTGGGTCTAGGTTTTTATGTGTGTTGGGATATTTTTGTCTCAAAAATTATTGTTGTGCTTTCTCTTTACTTGGTATTCTGAATTACCATATTATTTTTGGTAATCTGAATAATGATTTTTCTTTATAAATCAAATTATCGGTAATCCTTGGATATCCGAGAACTGATTTTTGTTCCTTCTACCAAACATGGTAATTGGATTTACCAAAGAAGGTTTATCAATAATCCTTTTAAAATACTTGTACCAAACACACCGTTAGCGTATGGAAACTGGTGGTATTAGAAGTATTTTGATAGAAGAGCACACTGCTAAATCAACTGACAAGGCTTACTACCACCATATTTACGGCAAAAAGCATGCAACAATGAAGAATTGTAAGTGAAACAGTATAAAGTCAAATGAAAGTGATAGGTGTACACCATTTTGTTTATATCATATTTACATTGATGATTGAAATATAAATAACTTAGTGATCAGCGTGTTTTATGTAATCAATGTCATTAGTGACAGGAGATATTAAGCGATTATTAGTGATCACTAAAATTGGTGTGCACAAAAAGGTAATGTGGAAGAACTAATATGGTTGTTTAGCATTTTCCTTGACGAAAAGGATAGTTGCTTGTAAGGTTTCTTCTGAATTCTGTCTAGAAATTCTCAATTGAATCAACAGCTATGTACTAAAAAGCATGTACTAAAAAAAGAAAAAAAGAAAAAAGAAACCAAAAGCAGATATGCCAGCCCTGTCCGGAGGTAACATGATCAAACAATTTTTCTTTTTTCAACAATCATCTTCAGAATTGGAGGAACTACATTCTAGGAACTAGCTGTTGCCTCCAACAATGGGGTAATGCTAATGCAATGCTTTTTTCCTGCCGTCCTAAGTTGTTTTTCTTCTTGTTTTCAAGTCCCCAAAAGTTCCATTGGTTACAAGACAAGGACAACATTAGTTAACAAAGTTTCCACTTCTCCTAGGCTTAAGGCCAAGAATTTTAACTCTTTTATGTTTAATAGAAATCATAGCATGCCCCTTTCATCTTGCCACACGGCAGCTTGCAAGTGAGTCCAAATCTAGTGATATTTTCATTGATAATTTAGTTGTCCTATGTGATTCTTGTAAGACAACACCATTACTATATTGCATCTACCAAAAGAGAATATGACAATACCCTTAAAACAAGATGTGCATTTCCAAACCAATTTCAGTCATCACAACCAACCATCCATTGTACAATAAATAAGCTGCACTCAATGCCTTCAAGTTTAAGATGCCAACAACCATTCCTCAATGCAACAACTGGAGCAAGATTGTCGCCTGACAAGTTACCATTTAGAGAGACGGCATACAAAACACAACAATAATTTTCAGTGTCAGGAGCATTATTATATCTAAGGTAAACGTCAATTATGTGCTTAATTAACAATTACAATAAAATTCGAGGCGGGACGGCTCAACAATTACATCCACCATCAACCAAGCCAACATAAACGAGTAAAAATATTGATTCACATTTCACTAATGTCACTTTTGAGATATATAGTCCCACATTGGTTGTATGTGCAACTAATGTAGAGTTTATAAGGTCTTGGGCACTCCCACCCTTTGAGTTAGCTTTTGGAGTGGTGTATCCCAAGGTTCTTTACTTGGTATCAGAGCCTCGCTGCCCCCCACTTTATTGTCCACTCTTCAAGCCTGGGCTCTCGTGTAGAGTTTATAAGGTCTTGGGCACTCCCACCCTTTAAGTTAGCTTTTGGAGTGGTGTATCCCAAGGTTCTTTACTTGCATAAAACAATCATATTATATATGTTGCAAAATAAAAAATAATCATGAGAGGCCAAATAAAAACCATTCAACAAATACTAAATAAAATAAACTTATTGCATCAAATTCTTATATTAGATACTTAGTGAACATCCAAGTAGGGGTGTAAATGGGCCAGGCTAGCCCAGCCCAGCCTACGGCCCGGCCTACATTGAGCCCGGCCCAGGCTTGGCTTTTCAGAAAAGTAGAGTAGGCTTAGCTTATAAAAAAGTTTTTTTAACAAATAGGCCATAGGCCAATTTTGTCAAGCCCGGCCTACAGCCTTGTAGGCTGGCCTATTTAATTTATTAAAATAAAATAATAAAATAATATTTATTTTATGTGGCAAAGACGCAAAGTACCAAATACCAATATCTCTTACTTTTTGTGCTATTTTATTTTATGAAAGGAAAACTTGTCTAATGTCTTCAAATTTTACATGCTGTTACAGCTTAATACCATGGAACAATGGGTACCTTGTTGGATTATGATGTTACTGATGAAGATCTTTCAATAATACTCTTCTTTCCCTTGTCTTGATGGCGGTTTAAAGATTTTTAGATGAATAATATTCTCTTATAGACTTTATTTCAGCATCCAGTAATTGTATTTTTCTTATTTTCCCCATTTCTTTGACTCTATTCCTCTATGATATACATTCTAGAGCTGAGGTATTATGTTGACTCTTTCTTGTTTGTCATTTTTTTCTTATGAGAAGTATTAGTGCATGCATGAATGAAACTTTCTTTGCTCTATACTATTATTAGTTTTGCTTAGTATCTACAGTGGGAGGCCTACAAGGCCTGTAGGCCATGTCAGACTTTCTTATTTTTAAAAATGGGTCGGGCTTGACCTATAAATAAAGCTTTTAATAGACCAGTAGGTCAGATATGCTGAATTTTTTTTGACGTAGATTTGGGCCAAGAAGGCCAAAGCCCGGCCCAGCCCAGCCCATTTACACCCCTACATCCAAGCACATGATATATATATAAAAATTAAGAGAATACTATACTTACAAGTTACACGTGGCATGATGAGTAAAACATCAAAATAAGCACCATGTATAAAAGTTAAGACGGGGCATCTCATAGACTAATTTATAAGTGGGATGCATATGTAAGCAAGCATCCATAGCTTGACATTGAGCTTTTATCTGACTTAGATGAGTTAAAAGAAAAATAAGTTCAAACTAATAAATCACTGGATTGTAACCATTGTTGTTAAAAAATAGTGTAAAAACGTAAATATTTACGTTTTTATGTTTTTGCTAGAGTGGTGTATGTTAAAATGCAAATAAAAACAGTCCTTGGTAAAAAATGATAAAAATGTAGTGTAAAAACAGTAAAAACTTACGTTTTTACCTTTTTGACCATTTTTACTTAAAACGAAATTAAAAAAAAAAAGATTGACAAAAAAAGAGATTAAAAAAAAAACTCAATTTTCGTTTTCCATAAATCATATGCACAATATCTTGATATCTTTTTGTTTGAATATATGTCTTTTATAATTATGTCTTATAAAGCTGCAATTCTATTATAAGTTATGTTATGAGAATCATTTTGTGTTTTTGGATCATTGTGTGCATTGAAAGAAGTGAAATTATCCTGACGAGCGATGATCCAAAATGTGCAGAGTGTATGAAGCAGTTAGAGCAGATTGGTTACCCATTACTTATTTGTTATCACTCTTTATAATTTTGATACTTGGTTATCAAAAATAATTTTCCTTTTTAGATAGATCAGTGATTCAACACACATGTTTATTATGTGATATTTTTTTTACATGCATATATATAATTTTGTATCTTGACCTTAAGTAGTAGAAAGTAGAAACTTTACGATTTCGTGTCATTTTTATGTTTTACATTTTTACCACTCCTTTCCATTTCTACGTAAAAACTCGAGTTTTGACAACATTGATCGTAACAGTTCAGTCGAATTTTTTTTTTTTTTTACTAGTTATTGACTCCGATTAATCTATGCTCATCACCATCCACAATTTGGTCGACCCATGTATGAATGCATGGGTCATCAATTTGGAATTGCCATTTAAGTCCAATTTATGCTCCTACTGACAAGGCACCAATGGCAACAACCACATTGAAATTGTCAACAACCGTTGCCAGAAACATTGAAAACATACTACACAATTTTTTTTTGAGAGTGCTATTTTATTTTTCTTGTCAGCTTACTATTCTTCTTCAAATTTTGTTCTCTTTTGCTCTTTCCTCCTACAGCCCTTCAACCAGATTACTCATATTTCCCTTGCTTGTGACTGAATGTCCATTAGAATACCTCTAACAAACACTTGAATCTTCCCATTCCCATCCCAAAATTTATCAATGTCAGCACCTAGTCATGCAATTGCAAAGGCTGTGGTTGCCACAGCTGGGGCTATGTTATTTATTGCAGGGGTTTTCCTTTACTTCTTCCAAAAGTTTGTTCTTGCTAGATACCACCAAAGACACAAAGTTGCTGCAAGTTTTCGTCGAGAACCAGGAGTGAACCATGATGATATAAAGAAAGTTGGTGGTAATGTGAAAGCATTAATTGTTGAAGAAAATGGGGTTGATATACTGTATATGATGGACACAGAGAGCAGACAACTGATAACTGGATTCTCAAATAGTATATTGAATCCTAGTTTTGAGGATGATGAAGAAGAAAAAAGAATAGATAAAATGGTCCAAAGATCCAAAATATCTAGGCCTCAGGAGATTCCACAGGTATGTGAATCTCCATGCTCTACTCTGCCATCTTCCGTTTCAGCATCACTAACACCAATACAACACTTGCCACCAACACCTCTGCTAGCACCTCCATGTCCACCACTTCCACAAGCTTCACCAATGATTCTTGAGAAGAAAACTCAACAACCACCACCAGCTCCTCCTCCTCCACCACCACCACCACGAAAAGAAATTCCAAAGGCACCACCACCTGGTCCACCTCCACTTCCAAAGGCCAATGGATTCGTTTCATCACTGAAACCCCCACCTGTTCCTAAAGAGAAAGCAAACATAAAAAACAACAATGTGTCCATGGTAGGGGAAAGCACAAGAGAGAAGGGTGCAGGCCCAACAAGGTTGAAGCCTCTACACTGGGATAAAGTTGTTGCTAATGTTGATCATTCAACAGTCTGGGATAAGATCAATGATGGCTCTTTCAGGTATATTTTTGCTTAATGTTAATTTTGTTAGAAGTATTCAAGTATGAGTTGTAAAGAAGTACCACATTGGCTAGATATGAATCAAGTGATGACCATATAAGTACAAAAGACCCATAAACCTATAGCCTTAAGGTTTTGGGTTGAGATGTGTTGTCGGCCCACTTATTATGATTTGTCATTTGACCCATGGGTGGATGTACCATTTGCAAAGGGTTTTGGCTCCCCCGTACCATTCTTAACAGTGGTATCAAAGCCAAAGGTTTCGCTGGGCTGGGTATTTAGAGATGGTGATGTTTCAAGGCCTCCGCAGAAGGTTAGTGTGACTCGATGTTGGAAGTATGAGTTGTAAAGAAGTACCACATTGGCTAGACATGGACCAAGTGATGACCATATAAGTACAAAAGATCTATAAACCTACAGCCTTAAGGTTTTGGGTTGAGATGTGGTGTCGACCCACTTATTATGGTTTGTCATTTGACCCATTGGTGAACGTAATGTTTGCAAAGGGTTTTGGGCCGTTCCATTCCCAACAAATTTGACTAGTTACTGTTTTTCTTCACTGCATTGTCAACTTCACGCCTTATGAGTTCTTTTTTCCCCCTTCTTTTTACAGGTTTGATGATGAACTCATAGAAACTCTCTTTGGATATAAGACAAACTATAAAACCCACGAAAGAAACAGAAGTCTTTCAACTTTGGCTAACTCCAATTCCAACATACCAACTCAAGTATTCATTCTGGAGCCACGAAAATCTCAAAACACTGCAATTGTGCTAAAATCCCTTGCAATTTCTCGCAAGGGAATCTTGGATGCACTACTTGATGGTCAGGGACTCAGTGTTGAAACACTTGAAAGACTCACTAAAATAGCTCCCACCAAAGAAGAAGAAGCCAAAATCATGCAATTCAGAGGCAACCCTGATAAGCTAGCTGATGCTGAGTCTTTCCTATATTACATCCTGAAAGCAGTTCCAACAGCATTCAATCGTTTGAAAGCAATGCTTTTCAGGTCGAGTTATGATTGTGAAGTTCTTCAGCTTAAGGAAAACCTACAAGCACTTGAAATGGGTTGTAAGGAACTGAGGACTAGTGGTCTGTTTTTGAAACTCCTTGAGGCCATTCTCAAAGCTGGGAACCGAATGAATGCTGGAACTTCAAGAGGCAATGCACAAGGTTTCAACCTGAGCGCTCTTAGAAAACTTTCTGATGTAAAAAGCACAGATGGGAAGACTAGTTTGCTTCACTTTATCGTGGAACAAGTGGTTCAGTCAGAAGGAAGAAGACAAGCTATGTATCAAAACCACAACCTTCACATAAGCAATGGTGAAACAAGCAATATCAATGAACCTAATTCAGATAGAGTGATACAACAAGAGGCAGAAAAAAAATATCAAATGCTTGGTTTACAAGTGTTAGGTGGGCTAAGTGATGAGTTATCTGAAGCAAAGAAAGCAGCCAGCATTGAGTATCAGAATTTCATCACAATGTGTTCCACTCTCAATGCTCATGTTATTGAAATTCGACAGATTATAACATGCTGTGGCAACACTGAGAAGGGTGGATTTATCAACGAAATGAAAGGGTTCCTAGAGGAATGTGAGGAGGAGCTTAAGGTTGTGAAAGAGGAGCAGACAAGGATCATGGAGCTTGTGACAAAAACCAACGAGTACTATCTAGCAGGGGCATCCAAAGACAATATGTCAAACCAGTTTCAACTGTTTGTTATTGTAAAAGATTTTGTTGACATGGTAGGTCAGGCTTGCATTGAACTTAAAAGGAAGCTGGAAAAGAAGAATGTAGGAGTGGAAGCTGTATCAACACCACCTTTGTCACCATCAAAGAGGACGCCACTCAGATTCCCTAACTTTGATTTATATTTTCTGTCAAATTTGTCAGAAACATCATCAAGCCAATCGGAAGATGATTTCTGAAGCTGGTTTTTGCATTTGTATCAATTTGGTTTATGCAAATTTTTATTGGAATTCCCACTTATATTTCAGATTTGTTGTCTGTGATATTTAACTTTGACGAACTTTGAAGGTGTACAAAAGATATATGTAGTAGTTACACCTTCAAGCAAAATAAGCTAGTTGGAATGGTGATTTGGTTCGGTGTACAAAAGATGAACTTTGATGTTAATGTTGAGTCACATAGTCACCGTACTAACTTACTGTCTTGGGCAAATTTATAGTATAAAATATCATCTTCACTAGGATTATATTACGGGATAGATTATTTTACTTATCATCTTTTCTGTTTATTTTTGTCTATCACTCTCCAACATCGTTAGATCAAAATCTCAATAGAAGAAAGAAATGATAAATGTAGTTGAGATTCTGATCTAACGGTATTGAAAAGTAATAAGTAAAGATATGTAAAAAAAATAAAAAATGATAGGTAGAATAATCTATACTTTATTAACATTAACTACAACTAGATTATAATTTTAATATTATTTAGGCGAACTGAATCACAAAACAATTCTCTTCATATCATTAACAAAATAGTAAGGTAAAGGAGAAAATAAAATAGATGCAAAAGTTATAAAAAAAAAAAAAAATACAAGATAAGAAAATTGTTAGAGATGCGAATTGCGAAATCACTCCCATCCCTTATTCTGATTTCTTTCTTTAATATTCTAAACTTCTTTCCCAAATGAGTGTAGAGTGCCAAATTGACTACCTTCTTATTCTTCAGTTGATACCTTCTTGTACGAATAGATTTACTTAATTCCTTGGAATAAAATAATTTGACTCCTAATTACTCACCCAAATCTTACTTTTCTTCCTGAGTAAATTAGAGCTTTCTTCACAGTAACTAAAATTGTATTCCAAGTTCCCAATTGAAACATAAACTGATTTCATCAAAAGATAGGCGACATCCATGGATACAATAAACATTTAAATTTAATAAATTTAAGGAAATAAAATTAGAAACATTATATTACAAATTTTCAAACGAACCATAAACTGAAGTTCATCCAAAAATAGACCACATACATGAAACCAATACCGTGATAAACATTAAAATTGGAAATAAAATGAGAAACAGAACAAGAGTTTGTGTAACACCCCGTTCTAGAACTGGATTGTTATCATTGCGTACGGCATTAAGCGCAGTTACAATCACATGGTTCAATTAAATTTCGGATAAATTTTTCTTTTTAAAACGTGCTGAATTTAAAATAACCAAGTGTGTGATCATAACCATATTTGCTTTGCGGAATAACGGGACTAAACTTAATATTATATTCCCTGTATATTAGACAATACGTCGTTGAAGGTCTTCATCTCTTTAATTATCCATTTAATTCTACACTCTTTTTATGCTTCCCATCTTCTACTATGTTATGGGATTTTTCATTAGCTACGCGTGGGTTCAAACCGCGCTCAAATCGGAGCACCGTAGCCAAAGTTAGGCATTTTCTAAGAAAAGGGGTGCAAAATCTCCAGGACCCCGCGCCCGTAGCGTGGGATCCACGCCCAGAGCGTGGGCAACCGGAAAGTTGGCGCCCCCAGCGTGGGAGTGGCGCCCTCAGCGTGGATGCTACTGTCTGGTTCTGTAATTTGGCGCCCCAAGCGTGAATCTGGCGCCCCAGGCACCATCCATAGGGCTGGGTGACCCAAAACAAGGTCATTTAACCTACCTATGGTTTTCCACTCATAACTTGAGCTATACTCACTCAAATTACACCATTTTTAGTCTCTGTGGAAAGCTAAGAGAAATGTATACAACTTCCATAGAGACATTAAAGTCCAATTCCATCACATTGGGTATGAAAATTGGTCAACCGGACATGATGTCTTTGTTTTCTCAACATTTCCCAATTTAGCACTAGGTACCTAATTTAGTTTCCAGTTCAACAATCCAATACTTAATGAGCATACATATATTGAACTTAAAGTAATCATCAATTACAAATCATGTTCATTACAATTCATGGAACTTAGCTTACAAAACACTATGATCACTCCCTTGGCTCCCATCAACAAAGAGATAACCAAAGGCATGAGCATAGGCTAAGTCCATTCCAACTAAACAGAACATCCATCTATTAATTGTCTATTAATTACAATCCTATACTTGTGAGCTACAAAATAACATGTATAATATCAAAATACAGGATCCTCAGGCATCACTACTAGTCCAAGTATGGCCACTTGCCACTGGTGGCTCCTGCAGCATCCTTACCTGAAAAGGGGTCCCCATAACACGAGGTGAGATATACGAATATATCCAGTAAACCAGGGGTCCTTGGAGCATCTCTCCACCCCGCAGTTCCATATCAGTGTAATAGCAATAACCATAATAATGCAGTAAATACATATCTATGCAAAGTGCATTAACATCTCCAGGAGAAATCCCTCGAGCTCTCAAGCTGTCCTAAGGAAACTCAGATGCAAATAGTCTTACTGGCCAGCTAAACTACCAAGTATGATTTACGCATCGTCATGCAACATACCACATAGGGAAACACCATCCTATGCCACACCAAATGCATACACATACGTATAACAAAGCATTACACTATTTCATTGCATTTATATACACTATAATTACCACTACCCTTTCAGGGCTTGGTGGAACAATCAAGGGAATTACACCCAAGGTTCGAAGGCTTACCTCAAGCTTCAGTCAACCTTTGTTCCCACCAACCGGTTCCACAATCAATCAACTTTGGTTTCAAGCTATGGTTTACACAGCACACACCTACATCAAGGTGTCATAGCATCAATCATGCAATTCAATGAATATCTACATATATTCATCAATATCATAACAACTCTATATCACAACGCGACATGAGCTTACCTATCCAATTGAACTAACCAAGCTCCATTGCTTTCTCCAATGGTTGATCACTTACGGTTGGTCCAAATGCCTCAATCCTAGACATCATTAGGACACAATCATCAATCAACCAAACTAATCCATTTATCACTAATGCAAGAAAATCCAATATCAAGCATTAAATCTTGCCAATTTTCAAAGTATAGTCATATAACTATCTAAGCTCATTTCCACTGATTAAATGCCATTCCTAGCATTTCTTATAACATGCATTAAGCTCCATTCTTCCAAGAGCATAGCTAATCGACTTACAAACCATAAAACCCCAAACACTATTCACAAAAACCCTAACTCATGCAAAATCTAGGGATTTTGTGTGCAAGATAGTGGAAACTTACCACCAATGATCACACAACGATGCAATAAGCGTTCCTCAAGCTTCCATGGAGAGAATCACCCTCAATCACCCCAAAACCCACAAAGGGTCGAAATTTTGGAGAAGAATAACTCACCACACCAAGCTCCCCACTAAAAACTAAGCAAGGATTAGCAATGAAAGACGAGATTCTAAGTGATTTAGGCTTTTGAATCGCTCCAATCGGTTGAGAATAGCTCCCTTTTCCTCTCCTTCCTCTCCTTCCTCTTCTTCTCTTCCTTCTTCTTCTTTCTGGTGCTGGGTTGACGGGAAAATGGGGGGGGGGGGGGTTTGGGTTCTTTTTTATTTTTTGTAGTCACTTAACATTAGTTAAGTGAGATCTAGTGAGTATTGGTTCGTCCATCTATTCAACTCCATTAATTATCAAACTTTACCCAAAAGTCTGGAATATTATTCTAGGAATATTTACAATTTTATTTTTATATTTTGGGTACGTTTGCCTGCACCCATTTATACCCCTTAATTTTCACTAAGTACACTTTTTAACTCCAAAGTGACTCAGATTCATTTAATTAAGCCTTATACTTAATTTTACTCACTAAAACATGCTTAATTATTTAATTACATGTAATTTGCTAATTAATTAGGTTAGGGCTATTATAGTTTGGGTAGTTCATGTTACCTCTAACAAAAAGAAAATTTAATTATGAAAAGAAAAATTAAAACCCAAAATTCAAATGATGAAGACTCCTGAAATCTTCAAGCTTTATTTTCTTGCCAGGAACAAGATGATTGTCAAATAAAGGAAAACTTTGCTATAGAATAAAAATTGATCACTAAGTTGGAAGTATAGCCTGTTGCTGTTCAAACAGTAAGGTTGTGAAAGGTTTTTGTGGATCAATAGTGGGGCATTTCTATATCCAACCTGCAAATAAGGTTTTGTTTGGTTTTCATCCAAAATTAAAATTTCAAAATCGACAAAGAACAAAGAAAAAAACATACACAAACACACGCGTGAACCTCCTCATAATTTGATTAATCTCTAAAGTTGTTGGGAGGAAGGTCATGACGAGTTCGAAGCTCAGCACTTCGAGATCGGCCTGAAGTCACCTGGTTGGCCAAAATGCAGAATCTCATAAAATGCAGAAATGAGAGATGCGGAGTAAAACACATCAGATTTTAACATGGAAAACCTTAACTAATTCAGAGAAGTAAAAATATGGGACTTTAGTCCAAGAAATCTTCCATTATGAGTAGTAGATTACAGAGGATTCAAACTTCTCTAGTCACATTAGAGGTGCTTTCAAACTTCACCAACCAAGGTGGTTTCTAGGTTATTGTCTAAAGATGTCTCACTTCAAACTTATATCTGAAGGATTTTTCTCACACAAACTAAGCTCACAAAATTACAAAGGTTTTCATATGTATTATAGGTGATAGGTGAGTAGGGAATACTTCTTTAATTAGGTAGGTGGGTAGCATTAAAGAAAAGGAATGCCTTGAACCAAGCATTAAAGAAAAGAATACTTTCCAATAAATCTTCCCCTTTTGACTTTAATATGTCGGGTTCAGTAGTCTGACACCCTTATAGCATTTTTTAAATTTTCTTGCTGGTATTGGCTTAGTCATCATGTTTGACTAATTCATGTCTGTAACACCCCGTGTATACCCGGTTTGTTAACATATCATCGTATTAAGCTGCGCTTAATTAAAAACGCGGAATATCTTTTTCTTTTCAATTATGACGTCATTATACTTAGCCAA